ACTTCTGTAGTGATACTGCCTCGGAAACCCAAGGAGGGGTCGCTATGAGTCGGGGGCAACTCGACGGCAAACAACAACAACAACAACATACCAAAAAGAATTAGTAGACATGCAACTAAATCAGGAGGGAGTATATGATCAAGAACCAATGGTACTGAAGGGAAAAGTCCAAGCTGTACTGAAGGAATTGGTGAAAAGGCTCCAGGAATTGATGGAATACCTGCAGAGATAGTTGAACAAAAAGATGCAGTGCTGGAGGCAATTATTCATTTATGCCAAGAAATTGGAAGACAGTTGCCTGGCCAAGTGACCAGAAGAGATTGAAATTTATGCCCATTCCAAAGAAAGGTGATACAAAAGAATGTGAAAATTATCAAACCATATCATTAATATCACACACAAATAAAAATTCTGCTGAAGATAATTCAAAAATGGTTGCAGCAGTATGTTGACAAGGCACTTCTGAAATTCAAGCTGGATTCAAAAGAGGACATGGAATGAATGATATCATAGCTTATATCCATTGGATCACAGCTGAAAGAAAAGAATACCAGAGAGATATTTACCTATGTTTGTTGGTTATGCAAAGGCATTTGACTGTGTGGATCATAACAAATTGTGGATTGTAAAGAATGGGAATTCCAGAATCTTAATTGTGCTCATGAAGAAACTGTACATAGACCAAGAGGTTGTTATTAAAACAGAACAAGGGAATACTGCAAGGTTTAAAATCAGGAAGGGAATGTGTCAGGGTTGTATCCTTTCACCATACTTATTCAATCTGTATGCCAAACAGATAATCCACAAAGCTGGACTATATGAAGAAGAACATGCCATTGGGATTGGAGGGAGATTCTCTGACAACCTGTGATATATAGATGACACAACTTTACTTGCTGAAAATGAAGATGACTTGAAGCACTTACTGATGAAGATTAAAGACTACAGTCTGAGTACGGATGACTCTTCAATATAAAACAAATATCCTCACAACTGGACCAATAAGCAGCAACATGATAAATGGAGAAAATATTGAAGTTGTTAAAGATTTCATATTACTTGTTTCCACAGTCGACACCAATGGAGGCTTGTTGTTGTTGTTATGTGCCCTTGAGTTGGATCCAACTCACAGTGACCCCTCCTTAGGTTTCTGAGACAGTATCACTATGGAAGTAGATTGCCCAACTTTCCTTCCAAGGAGTGGAAGCAGTGGTCAAGAAATCAGATGATGTATTGTACTGGGTAAATCTGCTACAAAAGACCTCTTTTAAGTGCTAAAGAGCAAAGACAACTCTTTGAAGACTAAAGTGTGCCTAACCCAAGCCATGGTATTTTCAATCACCTCATGTGCATGTGAAAGTGGACAATGAATAAGGATACTGAAGAAGAGTTGATGTTTTTAAGTTATGGTGTTGGTGAAGAATACTGAAAGTGCCATGGACTGTCAGAAGAACTTACAAATCTATCCTGGAAGAATTGCAGCTGGAATGCTCGTTGGAAGTGAGGATGGACAGATTCTGCCTCATCTACTTTGGTCATGTTGTCAGAAGGGACCAATCCCTGGAGAAGGATATGCTTGGTAAAGTGGAGGGTAGACCATAAACAAGATGGATTGACACAGTAGCTGCAATGATAGGCTCAGATATAGGGAGCATTGTGAGGCTGGCACAGGAATGAGCAGTATTTTGTTCTATTGTACATAGGGTGGCTATGAGTCAGAGCTGATTTGA